TCAACGGCATTCGTTGCAATATTTGCTATACAATACTATGCATACAAAATATTAGATTACGAATAGGTACATAAACTATACTTTACATGTTCTTGTAGAATTTTGATTTTACTTCAGTTCTTGACAATCCTTCAAATAAATCTCCGTTCTTCGAGTATTTGTGTTATAGTCTTGTTTACTTATATAAATATCAAAATTTACAACTGTTTTACTTTTATAGTATATTGTGTTAATCATTCGTTTTAAAGGTAGAAAATCTTTACAGGGTATAATGCTATCGAATGTTGTTCATTAGCTGCATTATTTGAAAACACAAAACAAGTTTTATTTATTCAAGTCCGTGCAGAATGTTTTAGGTTTGCTAGTTAACCTTGATATAAATTGCGTGATATCGTTGCAATCGAGCAAGCTGAAAGATTTGCTAACAGCCTGAGTTAACATTACACTACGTCAGAGCCGACGGAGGAGGGTGGCAGGATATCGATTGGGTTTCCCTCAGACAGTGTGCAATACGTTAAGGGTAACTGTACAGGTAGATATTTGATATGCTTACGACTCTTCTTGAATATTGTGTATAGACATTTACAGGGTTATAAACAATAAACAGCTGCAACTTCGTTCTTTTTATGACATAAAAGCTTTCCGAATGAGCGGTAGTTTAAAAAGATAATAATGAGTATTTAAAGTGCCTAAATTAAGTTAAAGGATTCTCTATTGTATTCTATTCTTCTGTAATTTACATCGTTACCACATGATAAATTACAATATTCACATATTGTAGGTTTTTACCTGGTGGGTACCTGATTAGAATGACTATCTTTACTGATTTAAATATTTCAAACTGTTTGGAACCGTCAATAATATTATAATAACATTGTTTATTAACACATTTGCAAATCAGTGCTCGTTGATATTGATAATTCTAAATATTAATTTAAATTATAGGTACTTACATTTTAGCAAATTTCATGTACACAATGCCTTCATTATTATTTAACGATATCTATCAATTACAATTGGAGCATTTTATAGATTGTCTCTTTTTGTCTATTATTATACTTAAGTAAATAAAATAAATAAAAATTATGCACAAAGAGAATTTCGTTTAAAATACAAAACGTACATGTATCGGTAATTTAACGTAAGTATATTTTTAGCTGCTAATAATATATTAACCGCTATTACAGTGTATTATAGTAGTTTTGGAACCTATTTTACCCGCGTATTTACACAACTAACAATATTTATACTCATTGAACGGTTATTGTTCATGTTTATCATATAAGTTACCCAAAAAATGTTTTATGATGCGACTGCTGTAGTATTTCAATAAGACTTGTCTTGTTATGTGAACAATCGGTGGGTGTTGAATAAACTATAAAACCTTCGTCTTTCATCATGATCTCTGGTTCACTTCCGACCCCGGTCATTGTGAGTAAACAAGAGATTAAATCTACATTTAAATTATCACTAATTTATACGAATCGCTCAGAAGTTGAGAATGGATCGTTTTGTTTATTACTTCAAAGACATGTAATTTCTTTAATAAAAGTATAACGAGAAAAAATAGTAAGTACAACATAATTGTAATAGTATCTCCCACAGTATACAGTACTATGGTAGTGTAGATTTTATTTCTTCAAATTCATTGAATTCAGAACACTATACTAATGATATAGAATATTTTCTTGATTAACACTACGTTAGAGATAGACCAAACTACAATATTTCATATAGCATATTGGGAACATATCGCTAAACATCGCTATTCTATAGTGACAGAGAAAGTTAATCAGGCGAATGTACAATCTATGTAACCAATAGTACTTATGAGTCATATAAAGATGTGACTGACAGTAATTTGTCGTATATCTTGAATCTTATCGGTAATTATCGATGCATTATGTATTTGTGAAACTTCATTAAAGTTTCATTGCACAACCGTTCAATCTACGTGAGTATATTTTCTTCACTAATACTTCTCGTTCAATATAAATGTGCAATGTATTAACATCCAGTCCTCAAAACTTTTACACTTTGTATTTGTTTAAAAAAGTGTCTTTAATGTTTAACAAACAAGACTAGTTCATATTGTTTTAATACAATTTCATTATTCTCATTCATCATCTGATGAATGAAGTCGGAAGATAGCCAATTCTTTGAGACTATTTTAGTTTACGTAAACATTACTAAATGACATATTTTCTCCAGATATTTTGATTCAAGAAACAGTTTGGTTTTTTTATTTAACATATTTTTAGGTCAGATGTATCAAATATTAAATAATAAAATCGATTTAAAATCTCCGCTCTTTTTCGAAGTCGGTTTAAATTATTGTTTAATACTTTGGTTTAAAGCTCCGGTCATAATAGACTAATCCCACTAACACTAAATTGGTTCCACATGAATTTACTTTCATAAGTCTTAGATAGAGGCAAGAACATAACATGTATACACATAGATACTAGTACCGTTACGTAATAAAAGCAGTTCCGCTGTATTGGTTTTGGATAATAATTGCTTTTTATCAACAATATTATTACTAATTTATTACTTCGTTACTTAATTATTTTCCAACCTCAATTCGTAGGAGCATAATATGTACTTACATTTAGTTACTTAATTTTAAGAGCTTGTCAACTAAGATATATTAATAGAGAAGTAACGTTATTTCTAAGAGATATAACGAAATAGCGTTTCTAAACCTGTATGCTAGCTGCATTCCACTAAATATTGCATTCTAATATCCATTTATTTTTTAAAGAAGTATTCGTATGTTTTTTTATAAATGTGTGTGTTTATGTTAATCTTTATCATCGTAATTTGAATCTATGTATGATATCTTTATGACTGTTATTTCAAATGTAATAGCAGGCATTGTCAATACTCGTCGTCGAGGTGAACGCAATAATTAACATGCCCGCATTTTTCTCTGAAGTTCATATATTTGAATTCAGCATGCCAAGGGGCGAGTCTATTGTTATCTCTGGTATTAAATTTGTTGTTTGACTAGAGAGTTCGTCAAAAAGACAACTTAGGTATATAGATTATATCAAACGCAGAACTTTACGGTCTAAGTGTCAGTAGCAAACCTCTAGGCCCCGATGTTCTCTTGTGTCTATGTACTCAAATGTAATATATTCCATATGGATCACCATATGGAAGATAGCTTCATTCTTATTGTATTTATGATCGTGATGAAACCGCGCCCGACCTCGCAGGCACAATTGCGCCAATGAGACGACGCCGGGACCAGTCATCGCAATTTAAATCATTAGAGCGCCTCTAAGCTATAATAAATGAACGTTGATGTACAGTGCAGTCTAAATATCGTCAACCAAACATTCAGTCATGAACAACTTTAAAAATCTAGGTAGCTACTACTACAAGACAGTTTAATTATAAGTACTGTCTTGAAATATTAACTATTAGAATATAATACAAATAAAATTATTATATAATGAAAGAATAATCCCTCTGTAATTACTCTGTAAACAATTATTTGCGAAGCGACCTTGCATGGTGTTCGTTGTTCAGACAAGGTATTTTCGATATTGGACATATGTATACTACATTACTTTTTAAAAAATGTACCAATTGAGTTTCGTGCCAGTTCTTCTCAACTAAAGCAACTAGCCGATCTAGACAGTAGGGATAGAGACAAATAATATGACTTGTATAAGTTGCTGAAAGTGTTATTATATGAATAAATAATTTTGACTATAATATATTTAATTGCTAGAGTGAAATGTTGAAGGCTAATATTATAAGTGAACTTTAATGTTACGGTTACCGAATTAGATAAAGTAAGTAATTTTAAATATGTAGGTACCTATTTAGAGAACATGAATACGTACCTAATCAATTTAGTTTATACCTAGCTAAGTAAATATTTATTTTCAAATTTCCACTTTATATCCTAGTATAACTGATTCAGAACTCATTTACGACTAATCCTGTACAATATTTTTATTTTAGTATAAGAAAATGATGTATGTTACCTTTTCTAATGAACAATGGGTCGTTTGGAGGAAACGAGAAGGAAGACTTGTTTCCTTGATGAGTATGTATGAATACTAAATTGTACCTACCTATATACATAAGTACTTATAATGGTAATAAATATATTTTTTATACTTCATAGTCGTTTTACCACGTGTGTATTTTTAAATTAATGTTTTATGTTTAGATACTCTTAAAAACGCGAAAGTTTGTGAGTATGTATGGATGTATGTTTGTTACTCTTTCACTCAAAAACTACTGAACGGATTTTGAAACTTTACAGTAATATAGTTTATGCAACAGAATAACATATAGGCTATAAATTTCACGCTGTTGAAGCCGCGGGCACACCTAGTAGGTATATATAATACTTACTAGTTTTTCGTCGCTGTAAACTCGATATTTCCTGGAGAATTCCCAAAATTCCAATCTGATTGGATGTTTCTGTTGATTCCTCACTGGATTAATGAGGAATCAACCCGAAAAATACATCTAAACTATATTAAAAATCTGTTCAAGTAGTGGAATTGCACACTGTATTGTTTTTCAAGTTCGAGCAAGCCGTGATATTATACCCAAACATAGACCATACGACTAAAACTGTAAGGTAGAATTTAGCCTACACTAAAAACTTTGTATATCAATATTCAAATTAATCTAAGTACCTAACGGCGCAGTATGCCAGATTTGGTTCTTTAATCAAGGTACAGTTTACTCTCGGTCACTTATATAGTATAGTTTTAAATTGGTGGATAACATTATTTCGGTCCACCAGACTACTTGTCAGTGAGTAGCTTATAAATAGCGGTATATCTACATCTAAGGTAAGTATACAAAAATGGTATCGTTAAAGAAATACCTACCTACTCATTAATTTTGTCAATAATTCAACATGAGATAAAGAAAAGTACCTATATAGTATTGACGTGCAACAATACAAAGTGTATGAAATATAATTTAATAACAGTAATTTAAAGGTGGGTATTAGGTATATTTACCATTTGGGCGTAAATCTGTGTAGGTCTTGATCCGCATTTTCTTTTCCCAATGTATCCTTTTTGATTGTTCGATATAAATGCACTACAATAAACCAGGTATCTTCATCACTTTACACTTCAGCACTTCTGAGGGTAAACACCTCACATTTTGCGTCTCCGATTGATTTTATTAAACCATACAAGTCAGAAAGGATACAAGTTACTAAGAAAATATTATTAACAACCACTTTTCACATTGTTTTTGCACGTGACAAAACACAAGTAAAGACACTGCAAAGTAAATTAAATATTAAAATTTAGAATTCGGCGTGGTAAGGCCGCGATTTGCTTGATTTGACAGCTGCGGGCGTGCTATCCCAAATTCCCGATCCAAATATTGGACGATGAATGAGCACGCTACGTGTGAGAGAGACGCCAACAGAAATGAAGTGAGTTGTGGGGTTTGGGGATCGTATCGGGAACGAGACGGGACGCAAATAGAACTGGATTAATTGGAGAGTATACTACGACCGTACATCATTAAAATTTTGATACTTAGTTGCAATGTTAGTAGTTGTACATTACTGCAATTTAAAACAGTCATGTATTGCAAAATTTATTACGGTTTCCGTATTCGCAATGAGTAATGGCTAGCCAAATTACAGGTAATAAAAAAGAAATCAAAGAATATTTTAATGGGGAAAGGTGTATACTAGTATTGGTTATTATCAAATCAAGCTAATCGGCCCGTTTTATTTATGTTTATAGAGTGTTAATGTGATAAAGTAAAATATAAAAATAAACTGACGTTGTTAATCGGATCACGACTACAGCACCGCCGTATACGTCAAACGCGCAGGCGCAACGCGTGTAACTGACGTAGGCTTGCGTGCAAACTTCACTCCAGTCCAATAGCGACTTTCGCGGTTCGTATTTTTGCAGAAGGGTGCATAATAAATGTAATAAAAAAATGCATTAGATATCTTTGCATTGTGACTTCCTATATTAACCAGGTGTAAATTTATAATATTGTTGTTTTTAACCTGTTTTGATTTCTAATAAATATTTGTATATTATCTATTTCTTTCAGACGAACGAACAAATGGGTTTCATATTAGCAAATAAAATATTATCTTTATTTACAGTTCTTTATTATAAAACAAAGTGGCCGCCACTGTCAGTTCGCTTATCTTTAATAATCGCTTAATAGATTGAGTGAATCAAGAGGGAGGTTTGTATGTATTATAATAATCAATGATTTGTAATGCAGCCTTGCGACCCAGGACTTGTCGCGAGTAGTCATAAAATAGAGTTAATAGGTCATATTTTGGTTTTTTAATTCTCTCTCTCTCTCTTGTGCCTTATTAGAGCCTTACCAGACATAAATTTTGTGTGAGGTCGTCTGAGAGTTCTACTAGTAGTTCTAGAGGGACCTGTGTACCTCTGTGTCACTTGTCTAGCTGCCAATTTTAATTGTAAGCAGTACAAGTTTGAAAAGTAAAATTACAGTGTATGGAGATGGAGACATACTCTCTCCTCAAAATTGTGCCGAAGATTGTAACTTACCATAAAATGGGAAGCCAATTCAGTTACTTAAAATGCCTAATTAATTTATGAAATGCAATTTATAGAAGTCTGTAACAGCCGTAAACCGTAGGTACCTACAGTAAAAAGAATTGTAACGGTATGTTTGCCAAATCAGTCACAATAAGATGTTGAAGCCAAGTGAATGACCTCAACATTCACGACACGAATTTGGAACAAGACTTGTTAATCCTTTGTAAGAACCCCAAAAACACGGATATGTCCTGAATATGTATGAAAGTTTTAAATTGTCTAGGATTACTTTTTGTCTTTCCTACGTTCATTTCTATTTTTTACTTATCTAGGAAGAATAAATGAAAAACAGATTGTACCTAAATGTTTGTTATAAAAATCAGGTACTGTTCGGTACTGACAACAAACTATAAAATTCTATTATCAATATTTACTTTATTTACTTCTATAAAGATTGGTCACTTAGTTGATTAATTTTTAATAACTATAAGTCTATTTATGGGTGAAAAATGGAATTGAGTCCGCTTGAGTTAACTTTATACATTGGCGGCACCAGTGGGAACAAAAGATTGAAAATATACTGTAAGTAAGCCCATCAAATTTGGATGAATTTATCAGAAACTTCCCATATTGGTTTTCAGGGGAATTGCGTGCAGATCGACCTGATAATCTTCATTGCCAACAATGGGCCTAATATACCTTTTTAATTATCCCCTGCCCCATTTGAGTACATATTACGTTGCCAAAGTGTATTAAAATATATGAGGGCCTTTTTAATCAATTTACAAATGTTGTATTGTGTTCTAAAATCTAAACAATATATTACTACTGCCATCTGGTGTAATGTATATGTATCAATTGCATAAATCTATCAATAACTTCCACTGTATTGCACTGACTGTAGCGTGTTGTATCTTGATATATATTGTTAGTATGTACAGATAGATGTCGCTTCAAGCGTTTCGACTGTCGCTGTTTTGTTAATCATAATAACTCTTCATACCTATTAAATTATCTACATCATATGTGTACTGACCTTAATAAGGTTTAAAGTAAAGGTCGAATGTACCTATGTATTTTGATAATTTTGTAAATATATTATCGTTACATCAAATATTAGATAGAAGAATGAAGTTAGGTAGGTACATAAAATACATACAAAAGACTGACTTACATTGAATCATAAAACTTATTAAATAATCGGTTACTATCTGTACAGAGTTTAGGTTAAGATAATACTTATTCTGTTACAAACATATACAAAGAAAATGAACAATTGAAATTTACTTAGATATTAGAAATGCACTTGGGTACTATAATTGTAACTAACACCTAAATGTCATAAATATAGACTCAATATAGAATCGGTTACATAAGTATAAATAAACAATATGATAATGTTTTTTGTTCCATCAGATTCACTTAATTATATCAATTAATGTAACATGAGTTATCTGTTTGATAGCATATCTATGTAGGTGTTTATATTTTATTAATTTAGCTTATTCGCTTATTACCTTTACGTCGCTGACGTTGTTTCTTATGGTTTCGTCTTTTCTTCTGTCTTCTAAGGCAATCAGTCATAATAACAGTTGTTTGTAATTGCTCCTCGGAATATACATTTCGCGCAACGTCTAAAATTTTCTCGAACAAGCACAACACTAGAGCAATCATTTTACGTCTTTTATACCTTTATGCAATGTTATTAAGTTTTATCTCAAAACACTTTCGCAAGAACTTTTCTTTTTCTTTCTTATGTTCAGGTTTAGAGGAAAATTTTTCACTTTGTGTTTCTTAATTTTTATTCTATATAAGGTTATCTTTGCGCTCAACATAACCTCGACCGTATGTATTGTGATACTGCACTGCACACCTCGAAATAATGATTCACAGAAAACTCTTCAATTTTATTTTTAACACACGAATTAATAAGTTTATCTTCAGGTTATCACTGACGTGAGCTGCGAAGAAATGTACATAATGACTGCGTAAACATAACATGATCTATTGCTACCGTGGCCTTGGTTCAAAGCATACTTCACACACACCAGATAATCTAATATTCAATTCTATAAATCTATAATATATCTGCCAGTACTTATATATCTAATACTATTATTCATACTTGATATTTATTTACTAGATAAATAGATATATTATAATAAAATCGAGGTTATAATTTCTTGTAATTATAATTGATATGAAGGGAAATCTACATCATGTACATGATAATAAGTACGATCAATGTCAATCTAATTATTGAGTGCTCTCGTGCCCGCACTGAGATGACTTAAAAAATTATAACCCAATACCATTGTAGGAGTTTGGTTTTGGAAAGAACCAACTGTCTAACTGTTTAATTAATTCATAACTACACTAAAATAAATTGTATCAATCAAGTCTATTATGTAATTCACATTTTAAAAATATAATATATCTTTTAAATATCTAAGAGATATCAAATAAAGATACAAACAATCTCATATATTCACAGTCTTAATAAGGATTAGTTAGTAAATGAGAGTCCACAGTACGGTAACTAATGGAGTTACCAAATTACAGAAAACAAAGAAATAACCACAAAGATAAATAATACGTACATATAATGCTTGTGATAAAATGTGTAGTAATTAATACTGTTTATTCAGAACAGATTTATTTTCATATCAAAACAATGTGTCTGTGATTGTAATGTTATAATCCGCGCTGTTCACTACACGAGAGACTGATTCTATTGACAAATGACAATGTATCTATTTCTGTTTTACATTATACTAGTTAATCGCCCGGGTATACAAGTATTATACATATAAATCTTCCTCTTGAATCACTCTATCTTTTTAAAAAAACCGCTTCAAAATCCGTTGCGTAGTTTTAAAGATTTAAGCATACATAGGGACGGCCAGACAGCGACAGCGACTTTGTTTTACATATACTATGTGTAATGGATCGGTAGACTGTATGGGTGTCTAAAATGATGAAAACACGTATAGAATATATATTTAAATACAGTTGCGAACTAATAAAAATATCAAAAGAGTTGTGGCGGTGGGTCTCCAACACTATGTAATGATGGTATATTTTTCTATACGTGTATTTGTCACCTGAATCCTCCTAAACGGTTAGACGGATGGTTTAAAAACAACGGAACCAGTAGTCGACGACGTCTGTCGTGTGCGCTACTATAATAATTTAATTAATAGTCTAGGTTTATACCTACTTACTGTAAGCCATTTAGGTTTAACATAAGTACCTATTTAGTTATATCCGAGTCCTATATAATCAAATATGAAACTTGGATGTCAATAACAAAGCCAGTCATAAAAACAGAGGATAATGTATGATTACATAGACTACTGTTCAAAGTATGCTAATACATATAGTAGAATTTAGAAAATGAAGGATTTAAACAAATTATTAGTTCTAAATTTAATTCTATCTACTATTACAAGGCTTATGTAATAGTAGATAGAATTAAATTTAGAATGATTTTGATTTTAAATTGATAATCTTCTATAACTTCTATCATCATCTGCTTCTTCCTTATCCCATTTATTTGGGGTCGGTGTAATGTTTTTCGCTTCCATTCATCCCTGTTCGCAGTCATCGCGTTATTTACTTCCTTTCTTACCATATCATCTTTCACACAGTCCATCCATCTCTTTTTCGGCCTTCCTCTGCCCTTATAACCATCCACATTCATATGTAACACCTTTCTTAAAATATTCTCCTCGTTCCTACGCATTACATGTCCATACCATGATAGACGATTACTCTTCAACCTCTCTGACACCGGTGCCACTTTCATACTTCCTCTATACTTCTATAACTTCTATATGAACAAAAATTAATTACCAACTGTTGAGCGCATCACATCAGGACGACTGTTTTTTTGTCATGTTCTACCTAATTTGTTACTTTTCAGGATATCAAATATACTCTTAGACATTCAAAAAAGGGAAATTTTGGGTTAAAAAAATCGTGATAATAATGAGAGGTAATGATAATTTCACGTTTACTTGGCAGGATGTGTGGGCGCCTAATCACTATAATAAATAAATATATCTATATCATTTAATAATACATAAGAGTGTCAATACATTCTATTTGCTTTCTATGAAATGTGCTTTGACTTCATAAGTGTAACAGTCCGCTTTTACCAAGTCATATATGGGGCGAAAGTTTTTGTATTAAATAGCATTTATGATTTCTATTCTCTATACATAATATAGGTTTACGAGGTATAATACACAGGGACATAACACTTAATAAATACTAGTAATAGGTGTAGTTAAATAACACGT